ACAATGGCATAGCAAAAGACTTTATGAACAAATCCTCAGTATCATGGGAACTAGCACAAAGAATCAACAACTGGGATCTCATCTTATTAAAAAACTTCACTGTGAGAGAAATAACCAACAGAGCTAAGAGACAAAAAAGTTTTACCAGCTGTTCTCCAGACAAAAATATGCTATCTAGAATATATAACCAACTCAAAAACAGCAGACCCCCCAAATATAAAGACCCAATTCAAAAACAGGCATCTGAACAGGCATTTCTCAGACAAACAAGTACAAGCAGCAAATAAACATATAAAAAAATTCAACGTCACTGGTCATTCAAGAAACGCAAATGAAAACAACATTGAGATTCCACCTCACCCCAGAAAGAATGGCTGCTATCAAGAAACCAACTGAGGAGAGCCTCGCCTGCTCCTGACCCAGCCACCATCGCTCAAGTTCCAGGAAGTAGCCTGGGCCCCGATCCACCCCGGGAAGGAGAGCCATGCCTGCTTCCGACCCAGCTGCCATCGCTCAAGCGCCGGGAAGGTAGCCGCGCCTGAACCCCTATACATGCCCCCCCACACTCTCAGACTTCCTGACTGTGCCAGTCTTTGGACCCACTCTGCAGAGGCACAGGTGGTCATCAAGGGTATTTTTCTGAGTTCCCAACTTTAAACATCTTTAAAGAAAGTGCAAGGGAAACCTGTAATAGAACGTTGTGGAGTTCAACCATTCAGAAGGTTGGGGAACTCAATCTGGGCCTTGCAGCCTGAGGTCAGTCAGCGTCATGGGGTTCAGCCATCAGCTAACTGAGATCAGGGGTCTTGCATCCTCACTCTGTCTGAGCCATTAAATGGTAAATACACTATATTGAAATTTTGTTCACTGCAGACATGTTCTGGACTGCTTCTTGATTTCAATTTAATTCAAATGATTTAAGGGTGATAGACTAGTGACTACCACCAGTGGTCAGTGTCAAAGTCGTGCTTGATCTTAATGTGTTGCTGATTGTATCAGTTGGGATAAAGCATTGCGGTTGATCTGATGAGCTGTTTTTGCTGATGTTATGAAGATGAGAATGTCTGTGGGTGGTTAGAGACACAGAAGCTAGGGCGCAACTATATCAGGAAGATGTGTGTGATAACCCAGAGATTAAACCAAGGACAGTCCAACAATAAAAATAAAAATGAGAAAATACTTAAGCAAGACACAAGGACAGACTTCCAATTTACCAATGGCAAACAGTAGGGCAAACGAGGATGAAAAGGCCAATCGTGAACCACCAGGACACCCTGAACTCAAAGCACAGGAAGTAACAAAACAGATCAATCAGGCTCTAGAAAAATTCAAAACAGAAATAATTTCCCAGATAACCATAGATATAGTGAGCAAAATGGAAATCGTGATTCGAGACTCTAGAGCAGAAACTGACAAAAAAATAGATGAGCTCAGGACCATGATAGAAGCCATGAAGGC